GTCATTAAAAATTAATGCTGCATTGTTTGCAGTTTACGTTTTATCAAAGTATTAACTTACTTTTAAGCCATCGTGTCAGGTGGTTTCCGGTGTTTGAACTGATACCCGATATTATGTATAATGTTTTGCTCAACGCAGCTGCTGTTATGTATGTCCAGTAAAAAAACAAAAAAAACAAACTGCTCGACTCCGTCTGTTAAAATCTGAGCATGTGCTTAAAGACACAAGTCTAGACATTTCACGATGACAAGCAAAACTGTCATCAAAGATTTTCCTTGACATTGAAGCACCTCACTATTTTTGTGCATCACTTAAACAAATCTACCAAGATTTTCAGTTCAGCTCCTGTTTTTAGCTCCATCCATTCTTGCTCTGTTTGTTGACAAAATGTAATGACAGTACGAAGAAAAACGTGTCTCTTTATTCCTGACAAGCTTCTTTTTTTTTTTTTTTTTAAACTTTACAAAGGTAATCACTAAAGAGAGACAGTATTTATTCTAACTGTCATCAAACAGGGTTTCCCAAGAGTCAGCTTTCATAATTCAGCTTCCTCAGACACATATCTCAGGCTCCAGAGCCCTTTTTTGACAGCTGCAGGCAGACGCCTCTTCTGAGGCTTTACCCAGCAGACCACAGACCATGTGGCACTGCAGCTCATTCAGTTCCTCAGTGAATAATTACACCACTTTCAGCCAGTGTGGAGAAGGCGTTTTAAATTTGTTCTTCAAGAGATTTGTAACAAAAATCAAATTTGCTGCTAAATTAAGTTTTTTTTTAAATTTTTAATTATTTTTTACATTTTTTTAGCCCTTTCAGCCAGTCGAAATGTTCATGCACTAACAGAGCAGATTGCTGTGTACTTAAATGTTTAAAATGATTATTCCTTAAATTTTAGTAGTCCTGCAGATGACTGTGATTTATAGTTCCCCTCCTTTTAAACATCCAAATCGACCCTGTATTGCTCTAAGAGAGTTAGTTTTGTAACTGTTCAGCTCACTGGCTGTGGATGAATGAGGCACTGCCACGTGGCTCACAGTGGGCTAATTAAAGCGCTGCAGCATGAGAAAAAGTCTCATTACATATTTGTTTCCTTTCACATCAGTTCTTCTGAATGTGTATTGACACATTTATATCCATGCAGATAATGTGAAAGATGTTTTTGTAAAGCAGGTTTGAGGATTCAGTATTAGGAAGAATTTCCTTTTACAGTGTATCATTTGGTGTTTACGATGTGCTCTTTTAGAAGGTGATAAATATCTGAAAGCATGTAATAGTTTTTTCTATATAATCATGAATACCAAGGCAGGATGAAAAAGGATTAAAAAAAAGAAGCTTTTATTTAATGGGTGACTCATTAGTGTAAAAGTGGTTATATGATAAGTGATTCCATTCTCTATAATACACAATTTGATAACCTTGCAGCCTTAGAAGTACTTTAATGGTTCCTTTTTCTAGGTATCAGCGTTCAAACCATAGACTGTGTAACTGCTGCCACTTTGTGAAACATGTGCTCGAGGTGTTTTGCCAAGCCCAGCACTGGGTACACATATTATGTATTAAAAGCTATTTGTCCATCATATGAACATAAGCACAAAATTATGGAAATGCTAATTTGTAGAGTTATAAGTGGCTTGGCTTAACTTTTAAAGTACTGAAATGTTCAAATAAATGCATGAGCCATGCCAGTCTAAGTATATGCAGCTGGTACGGTGAAACTGCTCATTAAATCAGTTATTTCAGTCACTCTCTTCGCTAGCTAAGAATCTCTTCTGCAGGAACTTGTTCTTTTGTAGTGGTTGGTGATTTTTGAGCTGCTGGTAGTGAGACAACCATAGACTGCATATAAAAGATGAACATAGATGGGTGCTACTTCACAGCAGACTGTATCATATGTCATATAATTGTAGTAAAAATGCTCCAAGAGGAACCGACAACACAAACACATTAAAGATGTAAAGTCTATACAGTGAGCGGCGAGGTCAATCAAAGCATGCATTTCTTGAATTTAAAAAAATATAGTGAAAATGAGTGAAAACCAGAAAAAGTTTTAGAAAATTCGGGGAGCAATAAAGTACAATGATTGAAACATTTTTTGATTTAGGCTTTGAAAAAGTTGTTTTTATGACTTAACTTGGTAAATCTAACAGGGCAGTCTACAGGGATCGATTAGCTTCTGCAACCAGCCTCAAGTGGCCATCAATGGGACTGCAGTTTTTGGCACTATAACTGATGTGAAATGTAAAAAAAAGAAAGAATAGCAAATATTATTTTATGTTGATATGTCATCTATTAATTGTTAGACTTTATGCACTCATTGTTGGTTATAGACAGGTGTTTCTTGATCGTAGTGCACAGATGGCTCTTCTTGATGCCAAGTGCAAATGTGGACACATTTTCATAACAGACCTCCGTGTGTGCTGTTGTTCTTGCAGCTGGACTACATATAGAGTCTGTAGCTGCTCTTTACCATCATCGTGTGAGATCTGAACCCTGCCCATAATCTCATGTTTTACTGTGGCTTCACGAGGGGGTGATGTACCACAGAGCAGCCAACTGGATACCTCACACACAATCATTAGATTAACTACACAAACACAAGCCACAACTGAGAAAGAAGTGGTTTCAAGTGCCAACTCTACACAGAAATGCTACATGTTATGTCATGGAGCAAGTGAAGTGTGAGACATGGTCCAAATTAAGAAGTAATCTAATCTCCCACCACAGCAAAGGACCCTGGTGGTGAAGGGTTTCCTAGCACCAAACACTGTCAGCAAACATACCTTACATCACTCTCTTCCCTTTGTTAAAATTTGGCTTAGCAATGACACGTTTTCATTAACACCTGAAAAATCATTGTTTTTGATTTATTTCAGTAATGTTTTTAAGGTGCCATTTTGAAACAACAGGCAGCTTAGGGGCTTTTTACCTGAGGTGTCTTATGTATAATAAGGAGGAAATAGCATTGCAAAAAGTAAAAATGCCTATTTCTCTATAATAACATATGAATAACCTATTAAAGCTAACTTAAGGAAGTGTGATTATTACCTGGAAATATCTCGGGTAATTTCTGTGGTAATAATTACCACATTATTACCCTCTTGTTTCCCCCTTGTTATCCTACTATTACTGCTTTTCTTACCGAGCTGTAATAGAAAGTGCTACCATTGTTTCTATTGAACAACTACACTGATCTGGATGCATCAGAGAGCAACTTGCAGTTAATATCTTACCCAGGGATAGTTGGTTACAGACTGGAGCAGACAGGGCTCAAACTACCAACCTTTTGATTAGTAGATGACCTGCTCTACCTCATGAGCTATAGCCATATGAAGGCAGTAGAAATAAGCAGGCATTAAATAAAATAATACAATGATAACAGAATGGTAATTTGCTTAGATGTCAAGAACCACGTACATTGAAAAAGTCAAAGTAGTGTCTTGGTTTTATGGAACAAATGGGTTGTATGATAATAAACACGTGAAGGTCTTAATAACAGGTCCAGACATTGGAGCCACAGACACTGAAATGACTTGTTCAGGGAGTTATTTTTTGTTTTCAAATTTTCTAAAACTTACAGATCTAATTTACCTGGATTCAGACCTTTATCAGACCTTTACCAATCCCCCCACTCCACTGAGCTGACTCACTGAATTGATTGAAAATGACAAATGCCGGCAGCACAGTCATGTTAGCACTATTGCTTCAGTGTGTTAAGGAAGCGGTCCTCAACCCCCGGGCCATGGACCGGTACTGGGTCGTGAGTTGTTTGGTACCGGGCCGCGAGAGTTGAGCTTGGGTGTGAAATAAATGGTTTTCAGGGTTTTTATCAGTTTTAACAGGGTTTTTTTTTTATCGGTTTTTACACTTGGAGAAACAAATTTCCCACGTGTGGGACTAATAAAGGTTATCTTATTATCTTATCTTTAGCGTTATTTTTTTCATTAACTTGGTTTCCTGGGTCTCTTTCCGTGTGTTATGAATAAATCTTCTTTTTTTGATACCGGTTGTATTTTGTTGTATTTATCCGCAACACCTTAAAGCCCAGTCTGTGAAAATGTTGTCGGACACAAACTGGTCCGTGGCGCAAAAAAGGTTGGGGACCGCTGCGTTAAGCCTCTAGGTTTGAATCTACTGGCTGGCTGGGGTCCTTATGTGTGGAGTTTGTATGTTCTCCCTGTGCCTGTGTAGGTTCTCTCTTGGTGTCCTGGCTTCCTCCCACAGTTTAAAGACGTTATGTTATTTTCTAATAACCTTATTTCATAATAACAAATTCTAAATTAGACATAAGTGCAAATGGTTGTCTGTCTCTCTGTGATCCCTGCAACACATTGGGTTTGCCCTACTTAGCCCCCTATGACGGCTGGGATATGCTCCAGCCCCCCCGTGACCCTGAATCGGATAAGTTGAAGAAAATGAATAAATGGAAGGAGTGTCTACAGCCTGCTGATGCACTACCACCCCAGATGCAGTCACAATCTGCAATGCAGATTTGCATCATGTTTATGTCACCTTTACCGACTTTGTATTTGATTTTAATTTACCACTTTATTTATATAGTTTTATATGGCACCAGCTCATAAAATGGAAAGAAAAAAGGCCAAAGTGAGTCATTTATTTAAAGCATAGCCTATGTAATGTGACAGAGGGTAACTGTGAGAATTTCCAGTGTTTCTATGTATTCCTCAGTGGAAATATGGTGGAAACAACAATAAAACGCCGCTTAGCTCACGCTCCCAGGAAAAGGATGGGAAACCCAGCAACTTTAATCATCTTAGATCTTTTTAAAATCTGCTGAAGAAGCTGAAGCAACTTGGTTAGACTCGCATAAGGCACTGCATGAACTTCAAGAATCTCTTTTAGCCTATTAGGCAATTCTCCAAACCTTCTACAGAAACTGTAACATCAACTCTGCTTAATTATTATTATATCCTTAAACACGGCCTAATTATTCTCTGCTTTCTGCATTATAAATGTCTGCGGTCAAATAATAATGCCTCAAATGACAGTTTTCAATCTGACATTTATTCTTTCTCTACCATTACCAAGTACTGACGCAATACTGTGGTACAACCAGATCTCGTCTGTTGTTCCCAATGTTAAACAGGTAAAGAACAAACAAAGTGGAGATAGTTATCATAATAAAATTAACAATACAAACAGCTTTCAACTCAAAAGTACATTAAAATTCTGCATAAATTAGAGACCTTAAGAACATTATTCCAGAGAGGTAATATAAAACTGTACATGACAATACATTTGCAATACATTACAATATTTATTCAAAACAGGCAAAATAGCACCATGAAAAATAAATCTCATTTAAAACCAAAAACCACACAGCTGTAACAATAAATGCTACATTTTGCAGTGTGATGATGGAAAGCACAGTAAGCAGGTACAGAGATTTATGGACTACAGTCTGGTGATGTACTGCAAAGTTGTTCTCATATGCCTTCATGTTACTTTTTAGTCAAGGTAAGTGTTAAAACATCAAGTTCTGAAAATTGTAAACTATTGTATGTCTATTATGGTGTCATGATGCTTATGATATCTGACTTTAATGTGTTTTTTTTCTTGTTTAAACATTTTTTTCCTTTAATCTCTTTGACTTTCTAACAACAAAACTCATTGCTGATCATAATCAGTCACAGGATACTGTTTTTCATTTTTAATAAAGTCACTCCATCCCTCCCAAATCATTCCTGTGTACAGACCCTCCTCTCTCTGATCCCCACCTCTTTGTTTACTGGCAAGTAATTATCATTCACCCTCCCTCCCCATATATGTTGAGGTGTGATGAGGAGTTCTACAGTTGTTCTGTTAACAGATTTGGGTCTCCCATAATTCACAGGAAGTTGTTGGAGATCTGACGCTGGTGGTCGAACAAGTCCTCCGCCTCAGCGCTGTATGCGTCGCCTGATAAAAACACAACAAAGAAGATAAGAGTCAGAATCAGTCAGGAAAGTATTGAAACAGAGAGAATTTAGTAAAAGACATGTTACCTGCATGGCATCCAAACATGTAAACCCGAGCTCCATCGTACTTGCAGCGGCAGCGCATCACATTGTTCTGGAAATCAGACTCAGCCATGTCTAAAGACGGGTTCACATCCACCTGAGTAAGAAACAGGACAGATGATTGGACTGAAAGTCAGTCATCTTCATAACAAATAGAGTTTCATTTTGAAACAGAAGAATTATTAAAAAAAGATAAAAAGCACAATGTAATCCTTTTGCTAGATGGAGAAATCGGCATCGCTATAATTCACCAGCAACCCCTGTTCTTGCTTTAGATGCTCTAGATTTGATTACCACCACCACCACCACCACCACAAACAACAACAACAACAACAAATAACCCACTTCTGTATACTGTGATGGCTTGTACATAACTACAACCTTCCCTATGCCTTTTTCAAAGATTGTACTGCAATTTGTGGCTGCATTGTACATAGTGTCTCGACAGTTTTTGAACCACTGCAAGCATTTAGAGTATCCCAGGTCATCACTGCGATACACGGAACATTATATATCCACCATCAAAGCTTGAAATCTGCATTAAACGCACAGTTAGGAGGGGTTTAGTTACACATATGATAACGAGGATGTTTTACCACGTTTTCATTTAATATTTATTATTGCAGCAACATTGACTAAACGTATTTAAGTAGCACCAATTAAATTTAAATCAAAGAATTTCATGCATCGTGCTGTCTTGCACATTTCTGATAATGCTCTGCTATGCTAACATTTTAAACAACTACTTTATGTATTGGTAAGACTGTATACTTCATGTGCACAATTTACTCAGGCCATGTGTCTTCTTTTTCATCTTCTTTGTATTGTTATTATTTAATGCATGTATATTAATCATGTAGCCAGAGTTGGGCAGCTGTTAGTTCAGTTTATACTGGAAATACGGGTGGGTGTTTGCATGGGATTGATAGTAAAAGCAACATTCTGTCTAGACTTGAAATGCTGCAAAGGGTGTCTTTTAATAAAGTAAGGGAGTGAAAGTAGCAGTTCTCCTCAGATAATTTTGAAACAACAGGTTTTCATGGGGCCCTACTGAGAAGCCACAGGATTATTGTTTTCACCTTTTCTATATGACCAGTGATGTTATATATTTTGGGTTCAAGCGATGCATGACATCACTTTCCACTGCTATCTCTGTAGAGGACAAAAGACCCAGAAAGGCAGATGATAGTGTTGGGTTTGGATTCAAGTCGCAGCCTACCATTAGACCGTAACCATGGTTGGTTGCCATGGTTTGTTGTTTTCCACCCTGTCTGTCTGCCATATATAAGGAAAGCACACAAATGAATTTTCCTGGTGCACACATCAAACAGATAACGTGACCACATATTCAATAAAGTAACCCACTTTCATTTTTTACATACTGTATAAATGTTGTGGTTACAATTATATTCACAGACAAAGATTTAAGATGCAGAATTTTCATAATTATGAATTTATAATGTGCAGTATTACATATATATATATATATATATATAACAACTGGTCCTAAAAGCACATTGGGACCAGCCAATGATGTCAGCACATATTTTGTAAAACACCACGTTAACTTAGTGGCAGCTGATATCCCATTAAATGCTCTTGTAATAATGTGAAACAAAGGACTCTTAGCCTGTTTTACAGAACAATGAAAGGCTGTCACAGTCATGTAAAAGACTATGAGGTTGATTTTTAAATAACAACCCAATAAGGAGTAATCAGGCTGAGGTGGACGTGACTCATCAGCTTAATGTATGGTCTTAAAAATGGCTGCCACGCTGTGAATCACGGTGAAGGCTGCACAAGAAAAAGCAAGGCTCTACGCCCTTCCTTAATCTCTCACTTCTTACACAAATTTATGAGCAGCTCAACTACTGTTACGCCACAATCTCGACCACAAAGTGCTGCATCGTGGCAGCACTGCATCTGTGCTTTATGTGGGTTTATCTCTCAAGAAGTGGCTCGTCACATGTGCGCAGGCTCATGTGGACACAGAAGGACCACTCCTGCGTGTAGTTTACATAAAGTCCACGTAGGCACATGCAAGTCTAACTCTGGCATCTTGATTTCATGTAAACACTCTGAAAATGATTAGAAACTGTAAACATCGTTGCTTTTCTGCCACTAAAATGTCCAGAAAAAAATAGAACAAATGACAGAGAGAACAAGAGGACAGATGAGAAGGTCGCCACACAGCGGCACACGGCATGTCTAGAAACAGACGTGATAGAGCACTAAAACTTGTACAAATGCAAAGTGCTGACAGAGCTTTTCCACCGCCAATAAGTCCGTACTTTCTAAGAGGGTGGACTAATAGCAGGTCTACTTTCTATATAAATCCAGACTAAATTCACTTTCTCTAAATACACACACACCCTTGAAACTACATATATACTGTACACCTGAATGGCTGGAAACACAGCCAAGAGCCACTTAGCTAAAATTATAGTGTTTTATCTGTGCTTTTATCTCATGTGTGCCTTCAGATGTTGAAACACAAACGTCTGTGTTTGCTCTGCTCTCTATTTTTCGCTTTCATGCCTGATCTGAGAAGTTGTGTAAGCTACTGAGATCACTGATGCTATTTCAGCATGAAGATTAAGTGTGGATTACTTTTTGTTCTGCACTTTCACTGGACTAACAGTTTCACCATGAGCTCAGCACAAAGTAAACAAATTAGTCAAGCGATAATATATTTTTGTGTCTTAAAACAAACTGACCTGAAAGATGTATTCACCAGGTCGTATGTCTGTGATGTCCACCCACTGACAGTCAATGTCATGCCGGTAGGTGTCCCAGCAGCCAACTGAGATTCCCTGTTGTCCCATGTTATAACAGGAATATCGCTTATGGAGACCTAGAGGGACAAAAAAATAGTTGGAGAGACTTTAAACGTAAATTTTCTTTGCTGTCAGTCGCTGTGGATTTGAGGTCTGAAGTTAAAATAACATAATTTATAAAACAAGTCTTTTTTGGCGTTTCCTCTAAATGAATAGAAAGGATCTGCATAAAGCTGTCTGGCCTCTCAGAAACCAAGATCTATTTAGGCTTGGCTTCTGATCTTACAGCCTGACTTTGAGCACTCATTATAGGATTTCAGCTTTGCATTTTTATGTATTCTTGATTCTTTCTTGTCTGTCACGATTCTGCTCTTTTTTGTTTTCACATTTCCACACAAAGAACAAATGAATGTATTAGTAATCTCTATTAATATCTTACCATCAGGACAGTAGGTGTCCTCCAGACAGAAGCTGGCTTTGTGACCTTCAGCTACCTTTGTCCCATTGAGTGTGAGCAGATCATAGTGGGTAAACACCTCAATGCTGTGGTAGTGTCTGAAAGAAGGCAAATAAACAATGAAATACATAAAAAAGAGAGAGAACAAAACTAAGAAAGACTTGCTGCTGTTTTATTTTCCAACTACACAATTTATGGACAAGAATCCTAGCGTCAACTTGAAATTCAGCAGCTATAAATCCTGTGATGTTGTTCTTAAGGTGTCAGATGAACACAGGAAAAAGTTGTAAAAAAGCAAAAGAGAACAGACAAATATCAGTTTGGTGTCCTCTCATTACAGAACCATTCCCAGAGCAAATCCTATCAAAACTCAAAGTCAAACCATGTGTTCTCTGGTCGGGGAGGTAGTGACTGGGTTGTGGCTGGGAGACACAACGAGCTGTGCCTCTCGTTTTGGGACACACAACCACAACCGCCAAGATAAGAAGCCAGGCTGCTCTGAGTGCAGTCATGGCTCTGACTCTAACAATTGGGTGACCAGTGAGAAGGATGTTTATTGTAAACAGTATTTTGGAGGATAAAACATTATGTTCATTGTGCTAAATAACAGACTTTTATACATGTTTCGTTATTTATAGTGCAAAACCCAGTGATCCAGTTTCACTTACTAAATCTTAATGTCCCATTTATCTTTCCCTGCTGACATTTAATTTTTTGACCTCTGCTAGCTGTGTTTACTATAAAATGCTTTTGTTTTGCATCACCTCATAATACCCTGTGCTGCACCATAGAGGAGGTTATGGTACTTTTCTTTTCCAGCCAAAGACTGCAGCACATAGTTACTCCCTATCTGCTTGGAGGCATAAAATAAGCAGCTACAGTTTTAAATGAAAACCTTGAAGCTCAGTTAAATGGCACATTGGCTTCTAAATGCCTGCTTTAGTTCTTACCTGTGGCACTGGTGCCATACCCAACTTTCTCTTGGGGCTCGTGGTCGGAAGTCGGCACGACCCATGTTCATAATGCGGGAGGAGAAGCGTAGCAGGCGGCGGTGTCCGTAGGGCCAGTTCATTCTGGCGGCAGAGGAGGACAGGCAGTTTTCCTCGTTAGCACAAGTCAGAAGGTGAAGAGGCCGATCCTCGATGTAAGCAGTCTCTTGGACGAGCTGTGCATCCAGTACAAGGTCAGGAGCAGCTGCACGAATCAAAGAGTTTTATTGTTAACTTTCCCTTCCAATTTGGCACTGTGCTGCACTGGAAACATCACTAAAAGTGCAGTTGTGTCCACGTGTTTGCCAGTTCTAGACTTACTTTCTACACATGTGACTCCTGCTGCCCTGCCATCTCCCCCTCTTGGACAGTAGACGTGTGCATTTCTGCGGCACTGCTGAATAGACATCTCAGTGCCAATGCAATGTGTCCCACTGAGCAACACCTCACCAGCATCTGTGGATCCAGGCCAGTACCAAGTCTCCTGCACAGAAGAAAAAATATTCAAAGAAAAATCCCCAGAAGTCATTTGTGCTTTGAAATATTATAACAAGAATTGTTAAAAAATGGCACTGCGGAAGGCAAATAGGAGCTTCTGCTGCAAACAGAGAAGCACCATTTTTTATAGGATCTATCAGTACATATTATCACATTTTCCACTCTTTTTCACAATTTTGAAACTGCCTGTTAAATGTTCTCGGTGGCCTTTTCCATGCAAAAGTCTATTTTCAGTTTGTTTGCTCTGTGACTTTCTCCCAATCTCTCTTCGGCTTACTTTCCCTCTTTTATTTTCAGTGCGCTGGAAGTGGACGTCTGAGAAGCCTGTAATTACCTCAGGCCTCAGTAATAACACAGCACAGGCACACAAACAGTAGGATGGAGAGAAAGCGGGGAAATGGGAGCACACATAACAAAAGCTTAGAGACAAAAAGGACGGAATCAGAGGAAAACATCAACAAAGGGAATTCTGTTTTTTTCCACCTGATGAGCACTTGAGGCAAAGCCCAAGCCAAGCTGACGACAGACCACCATGGCCTCATTCAGGCCCCAGTTTTCACTGCAGACAGAGCCCCAGCGTTTCACTCCTCCGATTTCCATCAGCACCTCCACACGGCCCTGCGATGGTTCTCTGCCTCCTGCCAGACGCACCTAAAAGTGAAAGGAGTAAGAAAGTGTTTCCTGTTGTATGCTTAAATGTTGATATGTGTGTACTTTGTTTGTGTGGGTTTCTCACCGTGGCTTCCATTCCAGTTTTTGGGACGTTGCAGCGGACTGCCACATCCTGGCTGTGTTTGCAAGTGTAAAGAGGCACTGGTCTGGAGTGGCACTCGGTAATTGACTTCTCCCTGCCTGTGCACTGGACACTGTTCATGTGGATGAGACCAGTACCTACAGCATAACGGGGTAGCAGTTGACTGATTGCAAATTAAAAGAGCGACACAGACATAAAAATCCCTGAAACCTGATGGCTCAAGTGCAGCAGATGAGCAAAGAGAAGGATTAAAAGCCCAGACATGAATGGGACCTGTGATGTGGCTCTGAAAGCCAAATTACTGTACACTCCGTCATGCACGTCGCACACCAGGGCTGCTCTTTATAACTCAAAAATAGATGTCAAAATAGCAAAATGGAGCAAAATCTTTGAACACATCTATGTTTGCGTAGGTGTATGGGGCCCAGGGTAAAGCCCATTAAAGCCCTATAATTTAGTCTTAAATAGCTAATGATGTCATCAAACCTAGTTTTGAGTTGCTGTTCTCTTCTGACTGCAGAACCATGGGACCTCACATGGACTCATGCCTTATATGTTTACACAACTCATAAACTAGCATAAGACGCTAAAAGGCACAATGCCCCATGCTGAAATGTAACCATAGCACCTAGTTTAATAGAGCCTTTAAAGTAACACTCACATGCTTTCCATGAATTACTTAATTAAGTAAAGTAGAGAGAAGGAAATGCTCCCACCATTATAGGACATGCTATGTGCTTATTTGGGCAGAAAGATAATGGGAGGAAATAAATGTGATTACAGAGTTACTGCAGAGGTATGGCAAGAAAAAGTGTCAATAACAAAGTGTGAGAAAGGGCCTATTTTGTTCCCTGGCTGAAAAAAGCATTACTGCCAGACACTTTGGTGGCTATATTTTTACGCCCACAACAAAAGCATTACTATTATAATTACAACTGAGTGTTTGGTCAGGCACTGATTGCCTGACATCCCAGTTTCAAAGCTGCGCTAACTTTTCACATACATATATGTTTATTTTGACAACAACACATGCAGTTTTTTTCATCAGTGGAACTTCATAGCATTGTTTACACTTGTCTAAGTGGTCATGGGTAAAGTTCTTCAACAATCAGCGTCTCTGATAGAAGTGGAAGTGAGGCAGTAAATATTTTCTCTGGGTTTATTTGTCTGCTCAGGTCCACGATTCTTGGAGTGCAGCAACAGACATTTAGATAGAAAAGTGTTTAGTCTAAAGGAATCGCTGAAATAAACTAATCGTACTTAGGATGCACTGATTCAAAGTCTGCACCACATCTTTTATGGTTATCATATCAGCAGCTCGTGGCCTTTTTTTTAATCCTCTCTGTGATTTCATAAATGAGGTTATCTTTTTTACTAATAAAGACAAATAAAACCTGCTTTTGGTTTTGTTCAAACACACAAACATCTCCCACAGTGACCTTCCAAGTCATGGTGAATAAAGTTCACTGCACCAGAAAGACATCAAAGTACTGCTTGACTGTATGCAAACTATGTGTGTGGCTATGTATCTTACCCTGTCCCAGCTGAGCCTGGGTCAGTGCCTCTTTGGCAGTCCCAAAACCCAGCTCTCTGCAGACCACGCTGGCTGCAGGTAAGTCCCACAGATGGTCACATATGGTGCCCCACTTGCCTTCTTTCAGCACCTCAACGCGGCCCTCCCCGAGACGGGGCCCGGCCTTCAGACGCACAACAGGCTGGAAGAAAAAAGTGCAAGTTTTAGTGAGGTGTTTCTGAATCAATTTGGAAATTTTACATTTAAAGCATGTTCACATTTGGATGCTACATTTTCTCATTTCTCATTAAACTCAGTTTCTTGCTGAAAAGCAAAGGGACAGTTAGCATAAAAACAGGAAACAGGAGTAAACTACAAACTAAAAAAACTTTTAAAAAAAAGCAAAATATGTTTTTTGGACTCAAAGGCATACAGTGCTTTGAACAAAATCTTTGCTCCCTTCCTGGTTTCTTAGATTTTAAAAAACTGGTCAAATACATGTTCAAATCATGAACACGTTATTTTAGACAAAGTTAACTCGAGTAAAAACAAAATGCTTTTTTAAAACGATGCTTTCATTTATTAAGGGGAAAAAAGCTCTTTAAACCTGCCTAGACTTCTATGAAAAAGTGACTGCTCCCTCTTATTAAATCATAAACTAACTGTGATTAACCATATTTTTTTAAAGCCGAGTTGAATCATGAATTGTCTTAAATATAACCTGTCTGACAACGCAACGTGCCAGGAGCTAAAGAAACTTAAAAACAGCAGAGATACATATTCAGTCAGTCTCTTAGTCTGCAAGGGTCACAAAGTCATTTCTAAGGCTTTGGGACTCCAGTCAACCATAGAGAGAGTCATTATCCACAAATGGAGAAAACGTGAAACAGAAACCTTCCCAGGACTGGCCGGCCTCAAAGAAATGAGTCTTTGCATCAATGACTCATTTAGGAGGTCACAAAAGAACTCGCAACAACATTATTCACATAGGGTGAGCTGGGTTTGGATAGTTTTTCCCCTTCATCGTTGAAATACTGCATTTGTATTCACTCATGTTTGTCTAATATTAAAATTTGTTTAGTGTTAAGTGTGACAAATATATAAAAAAAACAAAAAAAAAAAATAACTGAGAAGTCAGGAAGAGGGCAAATACTTTTCACACCTATAAGAAGACTTTTGTGTAAAGGTATGTGCTCAAAGTATCAGACTGTGACCCCTGTGATTTTGTACAGATAAAGAAATACCTACAATATGTACATGGTCAACTGGCAGGGAAAATTAAGCAGGACAATATTAGTCATAGTAACCCAGTAATTGTATACAAAAGTGTCTCTTGCCACCAAGGAAGACGGGGCAGTGGGGGGGCCTCTGAGGCCAAAAGCTGATTCATACACACAGAGTATACCATAGAGTATACCATAGAGTATACTATAGGCCCTTTATATAGAACTTCCTTGTTACCACTACATGGAGACCATACTGTATGTAATGTGATAAAAATCTTCTCATTTACCACTTAAAAAGAAAACCACTGAGCATTTTTCCCAAAAGGCTTAAGCTGCGTCCACACTGGAAGTGACTCACTTGGGACGTGTTACTTTGAAGCTAATGTTTGAAGTGCTGGGTGCCTAGGTAAATCTGGCCTGGGTGTATTTCATATATCAGACTGCAGCATCTTGTGACATTGAGAAAAGTAGATCACTCGTAGTTTTTTACAGTAATTCGCCTTCTGTGGTCTCTGGTCACCAAGTCACTGAAAAGTGGTTCCACTGTAGACACAGCTTAAGGTTTTAATTTGAACACTTCCAGTCTGTATTTGTCATATTCCACCCCGACACTAACCGGCACTGCAGGCGGTGCAGGTGCTCTGCCGTTGCGCGCGAACTGGGATCCGGGTACACAACGGACCACGGCGTGCATGCCCCCTCTGCATGGGACATCGCTCCTGGCCAGGGACAGCAGGGCCTGACACTGTGACAAAGATGTTTCCACACCCTGACACTGCACCTTCTCCACCCAGTAACCCTTCTTACTGATCTGTGTCCTCAGCCTGAGTGATTCAAAGAAGAAATGGAATGAGACGACACATTATAACTATGATTTGGTGCTCGAGTTGTATCCTTTAAAAAGCAGATGCTGATTTTACCTGGAGGAAGGATCAGCCAGCTTGGAGTCCCACAGTTTCCTAAAACACAGAGAACATTATAGTCATGAATGTTCAGTCATGTGCATCTTTACATCGAGTAGACTAAACAATCTGCTGTCCTACATACTCCCACAGTCTACCCCTGTGCTTCTCCTGTACAGTCTCCTTTTCAGTCACCTTCTTGTTTCTTCCCTGAAATCCCTGCTTCTTCCATTCTGTTCATCAAAGATTAAGTAAACCAGCTGAAACTATAAATATGAAGGAGACACAACATCCTTGACAGGGCATTTGTTCCCTAGTTAAACATATGTCAGAAAGACAGAGAGGAGGAGATTTAGAATAACGGATAACAAAGTTTCCTTTTTCTTTCATTTTTCCTCTAAAATCATCCCCTCCTTCTTGTGTCTTTTTTAGAGCTTCTATTCCTACGTTCATGGATATTTCAGTTTCAGTGTTTGCCTATATGTCTAGTGTGGACGTCTGGTTTGAGGAGTCCACGTGGAAAAGAAACTAAACATATGAATAGTCCACTATATATTAATCCCAGCGGGAATCCTTATTGAGGTCTGCCAACTTCAACAGGCTTTCCAAACTCTGTCTAGTTTTATGGGTATTACCTTAAACTAGAATCCAAAGAGGAAATATTGTCTATGCACAAAATGGGCTCCCTTAAATCTGGAAACAGACACATTAGCGCTGACCACTTGTATTAGACAGTGTGACCACAGACAGGTGCAGCGCGACTGACGCCCTTCATGAATGTGCCTGAATTAAATGACTCAAAACCAAGTATAACCAGGAGGAGTTTACACTAAAACCAGATTTGTGATGCAATTAAATATTTGGCATACTGGAAAAGGGAGATGTTTCCTCTCCGGGAGAACCTCGGTATCCTGCTTTTCCGAGTGCTTTCATGCACAGTCCCAATATTAGAAGAGAAATGTCTTTGATGCTGGAAGCACTTATAATGAAAACTAATAGAAATCCTGAGCCAGAAAACTACTGTGTGGAACATTTGCACCACAAGTCATTTACAGTCTAACAAAAGGCAGTCTGTGGAGGGAAAATGGT